CTAGTAAAACAATTTACCTAGTATAATGAACCTATTTTTTTTCTCTAAATAATGTAACTTTTTTTTTAATCTAATAATGTATATCTAGTAAAACAATTTACCTAGTATAATGAACTTATTTTTTTCCTTCTAAATAATATACCTATTTTCAATTTATAAAAAATGTGCATAAATTTCAATTACACAACGTACCTATGACTCTCTCCATCTCCTCCTCACTCATAGTCTGAGCCTCTACGTTCCTCCACCCTAATCTCCTTTCTCACTCATAGTCTGAGAGCCTTTACATTCCTCCACCCTAATCTCCTTTCTCACTCATATACTCCGTAGTTCAGCCACCCGCTATATTGCATCGTCTCACTTCTAGGATTTTAGTGATTAAATTATAAAAATATGTCATAGAAAATAAATCGGCTCAGCTTATCTGATATCAAACCGACCAATTCGGTTCAGCTACATACTTCATTTTAGACCAAACTGGGAACCGTACCAAACTGCTTGGGTAATACGGTCCGGTTGTGGGTTTGGTGGGCAATTTGTGCGAACCAACTCATGTATAGTATAATTACCTGAATTTTCAAGCCATCTTCAGCAACCCAAAAAAAATCTGGTATTCTTGCTAGATGAAGTTTGTAAGCTTCTGAATTTGGATCCTCAACCCAACAAGCAATCATAGACAATGCCTGCAATTGAATTATGCTATTAATTAATGAAGAGAACTCTCTTTCTCACCTCAGAAGAGGAAAAAGGAAAAATATAACATTCAATTTTTAAAATCTTGTTACGGAAAATCTCATATACTAACCACAAAAAATAAAATAAAATAAATAAATAAATAAAAATTAACCTTCAACTAAAACACCAACTAGCTTTTAGTTTAGTGGTACCGACTTGCTAGCTAATGAATGATTAGGAACCAAATTAATTATGTTACACATACCTTTGGGAGATTTCCAATGGAGAAATATCCACTATTCTCGTCCTCATAATGTACGTGCTCAATTGCAGCTTTCAGCGCCTTCTCTCTCAAGCTAGAAAATGGCCAACGACTGAGAATTGGTTCAGCAACATGGTGAAGAAATCCCCATAGAATATCTTGCACCAGGGGAGTTGGATAGCACTGATCCTCCTGATCAAATAGGATTGGATTAAACACTTTATTTATTATTTAAACAAGTTTACTATATATATATATATATATATATATATGTTTTTTTTTCTCATTATGTATGAAACCATGAAGTAATGTACCTTGGCAACCTTGTTCCGGGCTTTAGCCCAGTTTATTTCATGGTAAGGCGTAGTGTAGAGCTCTTGTCTTAGTGATCGAACCAATCCAGTAATTGGACCAACAGACTTCTTGCCATATAAGTATGACATTGGCATGGAGACAGTCCGGGCAAGGCCCAACATTTTTCCTGTGTTCATAATTATATTATCATTGTTTTCTATTTTAAAAAAGAATAATATATAACTGGTCAGATTTTCTCCTACATGGACGTTGTGCAGATGTCATGTATTTTCTACTACCCCTCCCTACTTTCCTCTTTATTTACAATGAAGTCCACACAATAATAATATGTGGACGTAGGTCCAAATGAGAGAATAGTTGTTATATTGGGAAGTATTCTCATGTTAGTACGATATGTTTATGTTGTTAGACTGTAAACTTGAACTATTTAACATTTGAGTATTAGTGCTTTTAAAAATGTCAGAGTACTTTCATTTAGGGATAGGAGTTTAAGTTTTAATTCTCAGGTCTTGGCTTTAGGGGGTAGAAACCTAACTTCTAAGCACTTAAGCGGTTTCTGCACTATTATTTGTGCTCTAATTCTGCATGTGT